CGGGTATCTGATTTATTCTTTATTTTGTAGCACAAACAGAAATCCATAAGCTGTCGGTTCAGCGCCATTGACTCTTTGATCCGTTACGGGGCTCTTTCTTCCCTTTTCTACCCTCCGTGGCCGTCCGCGCGGGATTAAATGCTGCCTTCTCTGCCCTGTGCGGCGCTGCCACGGGGCCAGGCTACACGGACGGTGAAAGTACACTCTACCCGAGCCCCCCTCCCGCTCCCGCCTAACTTAGACTAGGGTGAGTCCGAAAACGTCCGGCCCTGCCACACACAAAGGGAAGCGCAGCAGCCGAGCCGCAGGCTCGTGCGGAGCCGGTGAGGAGTGACCAGGGCACGCCGCCAGCCTGGGTCGCAGAGCCGGGTTTACCTGTCGGATCCGCTCCCCCGCCGGAGAGAGCCGCGCGCGCTCCCCGTGGCGTCGGACCTCGAGCCCGACGCCCCGGCGGCCTAGGCCAGGCCAACTTTTCCAAGGGGAAATGGAACGTGCCAGCTAACCGCACGCAGAGACGAGAGGTGTGCGTGCCCTGGCCGGGAAGCAGGGACCCCCTTCGCTGGGCTCACGCTTCTCAAAGTTCGCCTCCAAACCGAAGACGCTACTTTCATTTCTAAGGGTGAGAGCCTGCTTGTGAGTACACTCGAAATCCAGCGGGGCTGCGGGGACTTCATCTATCCTCGGGACCTGTGCCCCGGCCCAACTCCACTTCAAGAGAGTGGGAGCCATGTCTTTAAAGTGATTTTTAAACAAAACAAACAGAAAACAATACCCAGCACAACACAGCCGGAGACCGACTGTCCAATGTCAAAAGGCAATGAAGCAGTTTCTGCACTTAATCACATTACTGATAGCCAATAGTTATCATCGGAAAAGTTGACCAAGACAGGTTAAATAATTTAATAAGGAACTGCTTGTAATTATGTTATTTACAAGGTATGACAGAGGCTGGGAGAGGGGGCTGAGCAGTGGATGGTTTGAGTGACCCCTGGAGCTCAGAGTTTGAATTATGGAGATGGGGGGCTGAGAGGTGAAGATGGACTAGAGGAGAACAAGGTGACTTTTCACCCCAACACATTTAACTTTTAAATCCAAATAAACGTCTCGTGTTACTAGACCATCACCCTGGGAAGGAGGGGGAAAAATGAACTAATCAAGCCTGACTCAATGAGCTTTGGGAAGAAGTTAGTTGCCTTTGTTAGAGTGAAAAAAATAAAATCAATGCAATGATTCCAAGCAGAGAAACATTTAAAAAAATAAACAAGGGGGGAATCTTGAAATTTTTCTGTCAAATATTAATTACTATAATTAATTAAGACAGAATTTGATTCCAATCACAAGTCGTTTAATAAAGCATATAGGTCCTGTTCTAATGACAGCATAAACTATTGCTCCAATCGCTCCATTTATTCCAATAAATATGGAATTCTCATTAGCATGTCAAGGAAGCTAAATGAAAAACAAATACAAGAGATCCATTTCTCTCTCTCTCTCTCTCTCTTCTCTCTCTCTCTCTCTTTCTCTCTCTCTGTACCCCAGGACAACCCCAGCTTAGCAGCTTAAAAAAAAAAAGCAAGTGCAAGGCATAAACTTTCTCACCTGTTTGGTCATTGAATCTATGAGGCGAACATACAGATCCTGCTCGGTTCTGACTCCTGCAAAACACAGAGACAAATTCTCAACGGGGTTTGCGCTGCCCCTCAGGAAGGACACAGCCCGGGTTAGTTGGTGCCCGCCGCCTCCGCGCTGCAGCGAAACGTGGGCAATCCCTCCGAGAGGGGTGAGAGGCCAGGCACGTCTCACTTTTTTTTTTCTTAATTAAGAGGCTCGAAGCATGGTGCCAGGCACCAAACAGGCTGCCTAGGGCTGCTGGGCCCGTGTGGTCCTTTATTTTTTTTTTGTTGAAAAAGAGAATGCACCCAATGCAAACAGAGTCCAAACTGCCCTTTTCCATCGCCTCCCAGGGACGCGTGTCTTTAAACCCGGCCCGGGCAGGGAGTCGGGCTGGGTCGGGGGCGCTGCCCCATCCCCGTGATTAACATTAATTTGCAACATTGAAAAAAGTCACTTAAAAGTGCTGTTTTGCAGGAGCCCGTATCGATCCTCGTTTTACCTTCTACTTGAAGGCCCACCGGTTAATCATGTGAAGTGCCATCGACTTATCGATCGTTTATGTTTTGTTTTCCTTCTATGCCACGAGAAGATTTCGTGTTTACATCCGTGTCATTTTAGTCTCGCCATCTTTAGGTCGGGCCGGGGCGGGGGCCGGCGGCGGGCGGCGGCCGGGTCACTCACCGTTACTGTACAGCAGCTGGAGCTTGTAGTGGATGCCGTTGTTGGTTTTCTCGTTGTTTGGCTCCTGAAAGCAACGGTACAGGATTGCGTTTAG